TAAAATTACAGCTTTTAAAAAACGGCATAGCCCAACTTTATGGTAATTTATTAGTTTGTACGCAGTAAGTAAGCAGGACACGGGAGTAAGCATAGTCTGATCAATATTTTTTTATTGACGTGTTGTATTTTTTAAAGTAACATATCATCAGCTAAATGTCCAACGAGCGAAACTTTCTAGTAACAGTTCCTTGAACGACCTCTTAGGCAGGACAGGGGAAAAGTATCTCCACACCTCTTCTTGGGGCCTTCTGTTGATTTGTAGGGACATAATAGTTATTTTTAAGATAAAGATTAGGATTGAGTTAATTTTATGGTTGATGGATGCGATAGTGGCTATTGCTAAATTTTTGGTTGAGATAAGAACTTAGGTTAGGGTTGTTGTTAGGGTAACATCATCCAAGTTAGCTTTTCCGGCATTGTTTGTAGGCAGTGTTACTAGTCCCGTGCCTTTCAAAATATTCTTACTAGCCTATTCTTTTGAAAAACTTTCACATAAAGGACGAAATTATTAAAACCTATCGACCTCTAATGATAGTGCAGTAAAGGGCGACCAAAATCCTCATATTCGACTTGCTCATTGTCTCCAGTAGACATTAAAGATCCTTTGCTCCATGAAGACCTGTGATTTGAAAATAAGTTTCTTTTTCCTTAAAGCATTCTGCTGCCTCTTTTGGGACCTAAATATCCACCTTAGTCGCATGCGATCAAGAATCCTAAAGATCAGGCGAAACTAATGATCAATAAGTTAGCTGGGTGGCAGGACGTATTAAGTGAACTGTATTTGCAAGCGATAAATTGCGCGTTTTTTCCTTTAATAAAAGAGACTTTATTTAAGTAATAAAATTCGCACGTCTCCCTGCTGTAAGGGTTACCTACTGAAGGAACTAGTTAAGCCAGAAATAAATTCATCTTCCTCTGTCATTATCTTTATTAACCGTTTTATTGTCACTTTACTATCGCGTGCAAAGGCTCTCTAACCATTTCCCTGTCAGCTGTTCCATTTAGGCCTTTGATGATAAGTACTTTGTACCTTCTTTAAAGTGTGTAGAATTTCATACTGCAGTGATATTACTTTTCCTGATAGGTGAAGAGCGCGGAATCTTCAATAATATGCAAACAGAAAGAGGTGCAGCTACGCGTTTTGTGTCCATAGGTGTAACCCTACTGGAAACAATTCGTGAGTAGCAGAGTAAAGGCTCAAACCTCCAACTAAAATT